AGTTAGTATGTTAAGTTGTGTTTCTGAAATAATTGTTCAGACATGTTCGGCCACTGAATCACTCAACCTGAAAATGTCACAGGATCAAATATCTTTCTTTCTCGAATTAGTCAAACGATTACTTTATTTTTCTTTCTGTGGGGATGATGTTTGCTTTTTATAGCTTTGTAAGAACATTGGAGGGAAGGGTTTTCAGTTACCCTACTCAGTGTTTTCTCCTGTTAGTAACTATGTACGTTTACAATTGTAATTGCATGTTCTTTTGAGGTCTAATAAACTATGTTGGAGTCATTGTATAGTATTTGAGAATATAGATATATATTTGATTTTTGTTGCATTTACCAACTTTTTTACTTTCTAAGAATACCTAGATTTTATAGGTATTTACATTTTTTATATTTTTATAGTGTTTTCAATTTGTTTACTTTTATTCAGGATGAGGCTAATGAAGAGCTCTTTAAAACAAAAGTTTAGGATTTTAATACTATTTAAGGCTCTCATGTTGATTTACTTATTTTCCTTGAGCAAGCTATTTTGTCTCCTGTGCTCCAGCTTCCTGGTAAAGGTCATCTAACTACAGACCCAGTTCCTTTTTACAAATCCTTGTGAAATTTTGAAAAACAAACCCGTTAGTAGAAACTTGGAAGGTTTAACATTTTCAGATATGCCTTCCTAGGGTGGACAATTTGGAATTTTCTGGATAATTTTCAGGAATGTAACATTTGGTTGGGAAAAGTGGATCCAAGATGGGCTACATGAGTAATATTTGAACTTTTCGTAGAATAAAACAAAGCAATGATGGAGGAATGAAGAACAGGCGGCTTTCTTAGGCTGTGTGTTTTATAAGATTGCAGTAATGGCAGTTAATTTAAAGTCAGTATCAAAGTATTTGGGAATTTGGGGATAGCTTCCAACTCAGACGTTACAGATTGCATATACATGAAAACCTGCTCACCATGCAAAGCATAATGAAACCACAGTGCTTTCCATTGTTTCTTAGTTTTGTCCATTTCCCCCTATTTTTCTCTTTTTGTTCTTCCTCCTGAGAGTTATATGAGGATTTCCTGCCATGGGACTCACATTTTATTTACACTCAATTCCTTATAAGTCTGCAACATATGACGTATATGCTTTTATGTCATAGTTTAGAGTTATAAATACCTTGTTTTGAAAATTATTGCATGTCATTTTCTACTGCAAATAATAAAATGTCAATTATTCTATGTAATTATCATGATTTATGGCACTCAAAACAAAGTCTGGTGTATAGGTGCCCAATAAATATGAGACAGATGCTGACAAAATGAAGTCAATAAAGAAAACAGAATTTCCAATCAGTAGGTCATTAGATGTACATCTGTGCAAATTTTATGGAGTGAGTGCTTAACATACGTAACACATGGTGTTAACACTGAGAATCAAATAAGTACACCACCACCCCAGCTTTTCAGGAACACACAGTTTAGCAAAAGGTACATATAACCTGTAACTAAAGCTTAAAATATGTTCAAAATACTTTAGCACAAAGGGAGAATCATGCCGCCATGGTTGGGGTGGGGGAGGGCTGAACATTATTTTTAATATTATTATTATATAAGTTACAGGTGTACAGCATTATAATTTACCACCTGTGTACTCTACAGAGTGGTCACCACCACAGGTCTAGTTACCATTCATTCCCATACAGTTGACCCCTTTCACCTGTTTTGCCCACCCTCAACTCACTTCCCCTCTGGTAACAACTAATCTGTTTTTTCTATCTAAGAGTTTGATTTTGTTTGTTTGTTTTATAGATTCCACATATGTGTGAAATCATAGTGTTTGTCTTTCTCCACCTGACTTATTTCACGTAGGCAGAATACCTTCAAGGTCCATCCATGTTGTCACAAATGGCAGGATTTTGTTCTTTTTTATGGCTGAGTAGTAGTCCATTATACATAAATATTTATCATTGGTTGAATTAATTGTGATTTTTAATGCACATTTGTGCAGAGTCAAATAATATCTGTTGCTCTTAAAACAGTATGTCTGAAGCAGTATAATATCGTGGGAGGATTATGGACTAGAGAGGTGGAAGGAACTTGTGTCTAATTTGCGATTTATACAATCCGAGTCTGCATTTCCTGAACATGACAATAAAATGCGCCACTTTATAGAGCTGTTGGGAGTATTTAACAGTAATCTATAAAGTAGGTTATACGTATGGTACTTTTTACTCATTAAGTGTTAATTTAATTTTTATTTATGTGGACTTAAAATGCCTTGACCCTGTTACGGTGAGAATGATCAGAGATTAGCTGTGCTTTTTAAAATATTCTGAACCTCAAAAATAAAGCAGCATAGTTATGTGAAATAATCTAAACAAAGTAAAATCAGGGACTGTCTTTTGAAACCATTTCTGGTTTTGTTTGATACTTGTACAAATTATTTGTTTCCCTGAATTTTTGGAAGTAAATTGAAGCCACGGATCTATAACAAAAATGTATCAGGAATATTTAAAACACATTTGTGCTGATTAAAATGAAACAGTGTGTAAGTATGAAAACTAATAACTGATTCCAGATAAGTTATGAGAAGAAATAAGGATCATTTGTGTAAAAATACTCGGCTATGGGAAATGGTACATTTACCTAAAGAAAGGACAATAACATTTGAAAACAATTTTAAACACAAGTTGATCTGAGTCATACATCTTTACTTTCCACAGGGAAAAAATAATAAGATTGATTGCAATCAAGACTGTCTTGTGAGACAGAAAGAGAAAGGAAGTTCTGGTGCTCAGTGAACTACTTTCCTATATTCATTCTGGGAAATTATCCTATCTTTGTTGTTTTACAGATCTACTTACGATTCTTGGACTATGAGATGCAGAATTCAAATGAATGCAAAAGGAATTTTGTGGCGGTGTATGACGGAAGCAGCTCCGTGGAGGATCTGAAAGCCAAGTTCTGCAGCACCGTGGCCAATGATGTCATGCTCCGTACAGGTCTCGGGGTCATCCGCATGTGGGCGGACGAGGGCAGTCGCAACAGCCGGTTTCAGATGCTCTTCACATCCTTTCAAGAACGTAAGAATCTCTGCACTTCTCTGTTTATCCTTTAACTGTGTCAGATGATGCAGATCTCATAAACTGTTGATGGTGTTTTCTTCACGCAGTTTGAGCACAGCAGGCTGAGCCTTAGTAAGTTGTTCACATCGCTGAGGTTCCCTTTCCTTCACTTCGGTCCAGGGACAGGAGAGTTACATATTACCTTTTGATTACCTATATCGGCATATGCATCATAGCCTTGCTTAAGACACTTCACACTATTCACTTGGGAAATGATGAATTTTGTTTGTCTTTTGTTTAGCTCTTACCAAGCTATGGAACTGAGGCAGTAGCTTCCAATGAAGTTTAAGTCTTAAAAACCTGCATAGAAATATTTGGTAGGTTCTCTTTAGTAAGCTTCTCTTGCCGTCCCACTGATTTCAAATAGGTCTGTGACTACAGAGCTCCTGTTAAAGGAGGCAAAGAGGGAGAATTGCTTGGGAAGAGAGTAAATAGAAAAAGTTCCAGAAAATAGTTTAAACGGCTCAATGGATGACACCCAGAGTTATGGGCAAAGCACAGACATTTTAGAAAATCATGTTCTAACAAATAATGAATTATATTAATAGGTATATGTTTGAACTGTTCTTTAGAAGCTTTGAATAATTCATGTTTAATAAATTTATACAAGTGAAAAATAAACCTAAGAAATTCAGCTTTAAGGAATCAGTCCTTTACCATTTGAAACTATACATTTTTTTTAAAACAGAAAAGAGAAAATGTTTTTGAAATGTCAAGGATTTCTCAGTGATAGGCACAGCAGTCACTGTTTTTTCAATTCATAAATGTTAAAGGTATTAAACGATTACTTTGTATCATAAATAAATAGTTTGGGCTTTAAGTTGCTCTTTAATTACCCAGTTGGAGAATTCTAGGGCCCCAGAAGTACTGAATGTCACTCAGTCTTTCTAAATCTGGATACCATCACAGAGTATGTTAAATCTCCCACCCAAGATTATTGCAGATTTCAACAGCATGTTGCTATCTATGTCTTCATTTCAAGAGTTGATCAAAATGTTAGAACGAGTGCATCTTTATTTCAGCAAGGTATCTGGCCAAAAAGCCCTCATCATTTTCTTGTTTGGAATTTGAAGAAATTCAGGCTGTAAGATAGCACATCTGGTGTTTTCACCGATGATTGCTTTACCATATCCGGTCGATTGTGCCTTTGGTGAGGCGCAGAGTGTACCTTATTTTTGTCTGTCTTGGATAATCACAGATTGAGAACTTTCTAATTTAACACATATGGAAGTTTTAGTTAATATGTTAGTTGATATAATCAAGTTTTTAAAACTATCACAAAATTATGCAATTTTTATCAAAGCTATGCCATAAAATGTAGTAAGGATAAATTAAAATATGTATTCTTACGTTTCATATATCAAGTAAAGAAACTCTGACTCCTAGGACTTCCTAAGGTTTTATTGCATTCAAACTCAACATAAGCCAATAATTTTTAAATAATTGACAAAAAAATATCTAATGCAGTATTGGCTTATATTAAGGAAAATGCAATAAGCAGCTCAAAGAAGATACTCCTGTAGGAAGCTGCACTGGTCAAAATGCAAATTGCATAGCCTGTTCTCTTCTGGGTATTATTACTGAGGAGCAGAGCCATCAATTAGAAGAGGCTGACCAGGATGCAGAAGCATCTAGAATCATGGGAAAAGGGCAAAGGAGAACGAATGTTTATCTTACAGATTTCTTTTTTTTCAAAATGTGATAACTACCTTAGACTTAGGTGGGTGATATGGATTAATGTTTGAGAGGTAAGATTAGTGTTTGTTAAATTAATTATAGGAAACTATTTGAGTGTAGTTTAGGAAGAAGAAATGTCTAGATCATAGGAGCTGCAATATTCCAAAATTGAATGGGTTCCCACAGAGGATATTCCACAGAAGGATATATGAGAAGTGGGTTCTCATCGGGCGTGAATGGTGAAGGGGAAGTGTCTAGGTTGGATAGGGGAAAAGGAAGACTAGCTAACATCTAAGGTCCTTTTCATCGCGACGATTAAGACCTGGGAGACTTTAAATTTCTGCTTATATAAGAAATGGTGAATTATATCATACTGGTAAAATTCTGCTTATACAAGAAACGGTGAATTATATCATACTGGTAAAATTCTGCTTATATAAGAAATGGTGAATTATATCGTTAGAGATATTTTTGAGCTAAAAGACAGAGTTTTCATTCTGTAATTAAATGATCTCTGGAAGTCATTCAAGTGGGTGAACTTTCAGTGACTAATCCAGAAGAAACAGGGTATTCTCCCTAAGAAAGCCACTTAATGTTCCTACACAGTGGATGGATGATCACGCTCATCTGAGTGAGTATTACGTAGCAGTTTCCGTGATTATCTCATAAATTTACAGGAAGCTTTGATTGAAACAAATTTATCCTCTGTGTCATGTTGCCTATGCAGTTTTGTTATGATATTTTGTTTTTTCTGCCTTGACTAAAACTGTGCAGAGTTCTACTATTACATGCCTACGATCAAAGTCAGCATGTGATGGAGTATATGGGTATAGACTAAGTATTTTTGCTTTGAAATCAAGGTATTCCCGATAAGAAATGAAAAGTTTCAAAACAACAGGAAGTAGGCTTCAATCAATTCTCTTATTCAGAAATGAGTGATTCTAATCTTTATTCCACATACACACACATATGGAATAAAGATTAAAGATGTGAATCAACGACCAGCTTTTTCTTACTCAAATAATGAGAAACCACCTTGATATTTTTCTTGGTTCCTATGTTTATTAGATGGTATCCCCAAGTGCAGTGTTGAAAAGTGCTTAGGGCATAATCAACACTATTCTAATATCTGTCGAAACGTCTTATATTAGGACCATAGGAATTTTTAGGAGTTAGATAAGAGCTTAGAAGCCATCTATTTCTATCTCAAACATTTTATTAATTCAAACAGAAAAAGAAAAGATCCAGGGAAGTTAACTGACTTTCCCTGAATACCCTCAACACCATGCTTAATGATTTGAAAACAGCACGGAGGCAAGAATGTAAGACCTGACTAATGGATGCAAGTGGGAATATATTTTCAACTCATTTTATTTTTACATTTGTATCTGAATAAATTACAGTAAAGGGAAAGGATGAGTGTATAAGAGAGAGGCGTAGAAATTCTTACTATGAGTCATCCCACTTTGAGGTTTCACAGGCACCTTAGAAGAATTTTAAAAGTCTGGATTAAATACCAACATTTGCAACAATGAAAAATATCCTCTAATATAATGGGAGGAATATAAGATCACTGAATTGAGAAGTATTTACCTTCAACTGTGTCATGAGAAATAACATCTTTCCTAGATAGGTCCTATAAATATCATACTCCTGCCCCTACTGTCTTGCTAACTCTTCACCTCAGCCTTTTCTCAGCTCTGCCTGAGATTGCTGCCCTGATTAATGGTATCACACTGCTGTTGGCTGCTGTTAAAAAAATGTTTAGAACAACTTTGAAGCCTATCAACTAGAGAACAAACAATCAGTGTTATCAACCAAATAGGCACTGTCTTACTTCATTAGATTAATTACTCAGAATGCTCAGTCCACTCTCAAATAATTTATACAGTGGAGATGAACACATATATGGGCACCCGAAAAAGACCTCAAATTTTTAGGTATTAATTTTGGATAGTATTCTCTATGAAAGATGACTTATTTAAACTTTAAATATATTCTGAAATGAAGAGGAAAACGTATTAACCACTGTGACTAATTTGCTTTCTCGGGTCAAAAATCAACAATTATGAGAGAGAATCAGGTTAGAAACACAGCTGAGGGTAAAGAAGAATGAATCCAACTTGAGATAAAGACGGAATAGTTTGAATAATTCTCACCTTGATATTGAAAGTATGCTATATTTTATTTTAGTGACTCAATTTAAGATTTCCTATATGAATAGAGTTTTACACATTTGCATCACTTTTTATAAAGACGTTGGTCTTGCTCTAAACAATCATCTAAAATTTTTTTAATTGATTATGGTTAGTGTAATTTCAATGTTGAGCATACTTATACATGAAAACGCATGATCACTTATGATAGACCTGTATATTTAAGTATTGTATATGTATAATGGAGACATTAGTGACATGTACCTCTTCACACTGAGTCACAAGCCAGATTTTCTGATCCAGCCTTTTCCTGAACACACCGTGAATTTGCAGTAACTAGAATGAATGCATACAGTAGTAATATCTCATTGTGACTTGTGAAGTTCTACCTTCAGCTGCTCTTCGGCTCTTATTTACACCATGATAAAATCTCAATCACTTAATGCTTCATTAATGGGCAGCATATTTCTGTTAAAAACAGACATGCAGGTAAAAAGAGATGAAAAGAAAATTGTTCCTTTTAAAGATGTGGGAATAATGTTTACAGTAATTTGCTAAAATGAGATTATGTATTTCGTTTCATACCAATTTATGGCAAAAGGCCATAGAGTCTAAACTACAGATTTATTTACAGTAAAGAAACATACATACAGTAATACTTAATTTCAAAGAGGAGTTGAATTGACGGATTCTGTGGAAGGCACAGAATCCTACAATATCATTTTGTAATTAAATCATATTCTATGGCAAAAGTTATTTTGCAGATGTAAATAAGGTCTTATGTAATTGATTTTGAGTTCATCAAAAGGGAGGTTATCTTGGGTGGACCTGACCTCATCAGGTGAGCTCCCCAAAATAAGGTGAAGCATGAGTCAGAAAGACTGCTGGCCTGGAAGAAGAAAGCAAACAGGTATGTTGTGAACTGCCTGCCTGTTACAGGGGTGAACTCTAGGAGCTGAGAACATCCCTAGCCATTGACTAGCAAGTAAATGGGGACCCCAGTTGTATAACTGCAAGGAACTGAATTCTACCAACAACCCAAATAAGCTAGGAAGACAACCCTGAGAATCAGATGAAAACCACAGCCCCAACCGATGCCTTGATTTCACTTTGTAAGATTCTAGC